TTGAAAACGTTTAGTTTCTCATCCAAGAACTTTCTTCCCCCAAACTTCTTGGGTGAGAAACAAAATGTTTTCAAAAGAAAAAAAAACAAGGAAGTTCAGTTGCTTTTTTTAAAAAGTACCTTAGGGACAACCTGGATGACTGAGAAGCTACTGTTATATTATACTACTAAACTACTACTGCTGTCTACTATTGACCTCACCCCTTTCCTAAGAGGTCTTAGGGAGGGTGCATAAGCGCACCAACGTGCCTACCGTCTCTGTCCTATTGTTTCTTTTATATTTTTCTTAGATGCATCCGTTTTGTGTATTCATAACCATGTTTATACTTATACCTGTTATCTAACAATCTCTTGACAAAACAAAATAAATAAAAATAAAAAAGCTCCATAGAGAAACTCCAGGACAGCAGCATGAGTTACATCCATCCGGGGACTTATTTCTGGAATGTTCCTAGTCTAAAATCCCAACCCATTTTTGGTAAGTCAAGGCAGGTGGCTCAGTGGCTTAGACGCTGAGCTTGTCCATCAGAAAGGTTGGCAGTTTGGCGGTTCGAATCCCCAGCGCCACGTAACGGAGTGAGCTCCTGTTATGTGTCCCAGCTTCTGCCAACCTAAGCAGTTCGAAAGCATGTAAAAAAATGCAAGTAGAAAAATAGGGACCCCTTTGGTGGGAAGGGAACAGCGTTCCGTGCACCTTTAGCGTTCAGCCATGCCAGCCACATGACCACGGAGACGTCTTTGGAGAGCTCTGGCTCTTCGGCTTTGGAACCATCCATGAGCTGAGGAAGCTTCTTGGATGAGAAATGAAACATCTTCAAAGAAAAACCAGAAAGTCCAGTTGCTTCTTAAAAAAGCACCTTTGGGACAAGGTGACAAAAATAAACAATTACTGTGGGGTATATAAGGATGGCCTTAGAAGAGACAACAAACCCAGATGTCAGCTACAACTCATAAAGGCAAAGCCCCATCTTTGTTTACGTGTGTTGCAATTGCACAATTGGAACTGCCATTTTGATATATATTTTTTTAATTTCCTCTCTGCAGACCCTTCTCCCAAAATAAAATCTCCAATTCTGCCCTTCTGGACACTAAATGTGAAGGATCTGCAGGGCCCTTGACGGCGTGTGAGAGAAGTGAAGAAGTATTAGTGCTGAACTGTGCTAAAATTCTTACGCAGTCCTTATTTGGGTGCAATTCAGGCCGATTCAGCAAAAAAAGACATCCTGTTTGAAAAGAATCGCCATTTCTTAAGTACAACAGATTCTTACTGTTAATCCGAAAAGCAGTTTCCTGTTGTTACAAGTGCAAACCGCAATTGCTTTGTGAGCTGGGTTGTGCTTCAGTCCTATAGATTTTTATCTCTCTGAGGTGCGTGAAACCCCGAGATCATGAAAAACAACAACAATAACCCGGTTAGAAATGGATTCCTCCCCATCGCTGTTATCAAAAATATTGACTGGAAGGAAGCTAAAAGGACAAAAAGCATGAAAGGTAAAGTCTATTAGGCACCCAAACACCCAAAGGCAGGAGAAGAAGCAACGGATGGAAACAGATCAAGGAACAACCTGGAACTAAGGAGGGAATTTCCTGACAGTGAGAACAATTAATTGGTGGAACAACTTCCCTCCAGAAGTTGTGGTTGCTCCATCACTGGAGGTTTTTAAGAAGAGATTGGACATCCATTTGTCTGGAATGTTAGCAGGGGTTGGACTAGAAGACCTTCGAGGTCCCTTCCAGCTCTCTTGTTCCCTTCTTTTAAGATGTGATACGTTTTACTTTTCTATTTTTCAACGAGGCTTGAACTTGGCCATGATTGGCTATCGTCCTCTCTGTATCAAAAGCCATGTTCATAATTATTCACATGTGAAAATAGGAGGGTGTTTTTTAAGCCGTTTGTTCGCAAGCGATGTCTGCTTATAGTACATTATTTTCTTACATTAGGAGCTTAGCTGCTGCTAATGGGCATTATCCATTCAAACCAGAAGCTTTGCAGCTGAGCTATTCCTATGCTCTTTTCGTTTATTTTAAATGTTTTCTCATTCCCTCCCCCAATTGTGGTTTCTAGGGAATCCATTTCCTGCCTTCCCTTTCCCTTCTTCCTTTCTCCTATTTCCTTCTGGTTGCTTTTCTTCCCTTTCCCTCCTTCCCTCCCTGCCTCTCATTCTCATATTCTTTCTTCCTTCCTCTGTCCCTTCCTCCCTCCCTCCCTTCCTCCTTCCTTCTTTCCTTCCTTCCTTCCTTCCTCCCTCCCTCCCTCCCTGCCTGCCTCTCATTCCTTTTCTTCCTCCCTCCCTCACTGCTTCTCATTCCCATATCTTTCCTTCCTCCCTCCCTCCCTCCCTGCCTCTCATTCCTATTTCCTTCCTTCCTTCCTCCCTCCCTTCCTCTCATTCTCATATCCTTCCTTACTTCCTCCCTCCCTGCTTCTCATTTCCATTTCCTTCCTCCCTTCCTCCCCGCCTCTCATTCCCATTTCTTTCTTCCTTCCTTCCTCCCTTCCTTCCTCTCATTCCCATTTCCTTCCTTCCTCCCTCTCTCCCTTCCTCTCATTCTCATATCCTTCCTTCCTTCCTCCCTGCCTGCCTCTCATTCTCATATCCTTCC